CAATGCCTGACAACCCTTTCCATGAGGGAATCCCTCCTGATGTTCAGCCTGACACTCTCCACACTGCCTGAGGGGTGGGACCTCAGTTTGGGAATGTTGGTCACAAGTTGAGCTCTTTAACCACCCTGGACCCATTTTCTTCCCCAGAACGGGACCACTGAGACCATCCCAGAAGGAAACACCATCTACTCCGTCGTGTGCCCTGAGATACGGGTAGGGTCAGTCGTGGGGGACCCTGGAGCTGCCCCACGGGTTTGGCTGTGCAGACCCCAGGCTGGATCCATCCCTTCCCGCTGTCCAATCCACACTTTCTGCCCAAACTTGGCTTTCCTTTCTTCACCTTGACCATTTCTCCCTGGCAGGAGGATCCCAGGGTCCCTCAGGAGTTCGGAAGCTCCACCATCTACTCCACGATTCAGTTCAGCAAGAGGGTGAGGTTGTCCTGCCATGACCCAAGCCCTCTGTGGTGACACCAAACCCAGGTCCTCTTTCAGCTGAGTGCTGAAGCCATTGCCCTGACCCCACATTGCCTAACAGCAAGTTCCTCCTCTTCTCAGCAGCCTTCATCTCTCCAGAGGAAGAGGCTGGACCGGTCTCTGGTCTCCACTGCCTACTTAGAGGTAATGGTTGATCCCAAGGGGCCTCCAGAGCTCGTGCACTATTTGGGGTCTCCACGTGCTAACTCCCACCTGTTTCCTTGCAGTATTTGGGGGCTCCTAGACATTGGTGCCCCTCGTTGCAGACCTCCCCCCAAATTCCTGCCAGCTGCCACCACTCCTAGTGCCCTGGCAAGACCTTCCCTTCCTATGGACCTCTTCTCCTGGAGCACCCAGAGGCTCCAGCAGCACCCACCAGGGTCCCACCTGGGGCTTCACTCAGGATAGATCCAGTCAGCAATGGGTTTTTGGAAGGATCCAACCCCCAGCTGCACCTTGAGGCTTGGAGGGAAGACGTGGTGATGGAAACGTGTCTCCAGAGGAGATGGATGTGGACTTGGACAGGAGGGATTGGGGGGGAGGAGAGGGTGGGGTGGGATCTTGTGGGTTTTTCAGGGCTTGACAGGTTTGGGAATTCATTTGTAGGTGCAAATATGAGCTGAACCACACAAGGTGATGCTGTTTGATTAGCTTAATTGGCTATTTATAGCCCGAAATGAACCTCAGGCACGGGAGGAAGCAGGAATTGCCTTGGGAATGTCTGAAGGGATGGAATCTCGTGCTCTTGGCTCTGGGCTGGGTAGGGAGAGCTGGTCCTGGGCACCAGAGGCTGCAGATGCTGCCACATCCCCTCCCAGCTGGGTCATCCCCTGCTCCTACAGCCCTGGGAAGAGGATGTGGAGGAGAAGGGGCTCAGGCTTCAAAGCTCCTCCCAAGGGCGAGATCAAGGGCTTGTCCCCGGGACTGCAATGAGAGGTGACACTTTGACAGCAGCGTGGGGAGCGGCGGCGGCTGCTCCTGCTCCCGGAGCTCTCTCTGTGGCTGCTCCCCGGGAAACCAGCGCTAATTGGGATCATTAGCGGGAGGTTGGCGTGGGGAGGGAGCTCGGGGGGAGGCTCAGGCACAGCTCTGCTGCCATGTCCAGGCTGCTTTGTGCCGTCCCGAGCCACATCCTCTGCTTTTCCCGATGTGCTGGTGAGAGTCCAACACTTCCCGGGCCATAAGAGCATCTCCCTCTGCATGGGGAGGTCAGGACAGGCAGGGAGGGATCCAGTGTGACCCAAGCTCGGGTTTGCTGGAGGGGATGGAAATCCTCTGGAGCAGCACTGGGGATGCTGTGCTGCAGGAGCTCTGGAAGGTGCAAGAGAGGCAGCAGCACATTGCTGTCCTCCAGCAACTGAGGAATGAATCAGAATATCCTGAGCTGGAAGGGACTCATAAGGATCATTGAGGGCAACTCCTGGTCCTGCACAGTCATCCCAACATGTCCCTGAGAGCATTGGCCAAATGCTCCTTGAGCTCTGGCAGGGTTGGGGCTGTGACCACTGTCCTGGGGAAGCTGTTCAGTGCCCAAACACCTCTGGGGGAAGAACCTTCTCCCTGATATCCAACCTAGACCTGTTCCAGCACCCAAACACCCTCTGGGAGAAGAACCTTCTCCTGTTACCCACCTAACCCACCCCAAGACAGCTCCATCCTGTGTCTACATGGCCTGGAACACGAATCCATTCCCTCGGGTGCCGTCACTGCTCACAGAGAGCAGAGATTAGCCCCTCCCAGCCCAGAATTCCACGCTCTCCTGCCAAGCAGCAGCACCCGAAGGCGCCAGCTCGGAGCATGGCGCTGCCGTCGGGTCCCACAGCACAGCGAGTAATTTATGCTAATGATCTGTTCTTTTGCATACTGCCCATAATTCACAGCTCCCGCGGCAAACGCTGAGACGGCACTTCACTCCCTGCTGGGGAAGTTCAAGTTAGAAGAAGAATTAGAATTAAGAATCAACCTGGTTGGAAGAGACCTCAAAGATCACTGAGTCCAACCCTACCAACGTTACTGGACCATGGCACATCCAGTCTCATCCTAAAAACCTCCAGGGATGGTGAATCCACCACCTCCCTGGGCAGCACATTACAATATCTGATCACTCTCTCCCTAAAAAATCTCTTCCTAATATCCAACCTAACCCTCCCCTGGCAGAGCTTGAGTCTGTGCCCTCTTGTCCTCCTGCTGGTTGTCTGGGAGAAGAGACCAACCCGCACCTGACTCCAACCTCCTGTCAGGGAGTTGTAGAGGGTGATAAGGTCTCCCTTGAGCCTCCTCTTCTCCAGGCTGAACACCCCCAGCTCTCTCAGCCTCTCCTCATGGCACTTGTGCTCCAGTCCCTTCCCCAGCCTCGTTGCTCTTCTCTGGACCTGCTTCAGCACCTCAATGTCCTTTCTGAACTTCGGGGCCCAGAACTGAGCACAGTACTCAAGGGGTGGCATTGAGTTCCCATCTCCTCCCTGGGCCGTGTCACCGACTGTGGGGACACCCGATGGGGGCTCGGACGTTCGGGGCCGTGGGCTGTGGTCCCAGCCGGGTGGTCCCATCCTGGGGCTGGGGCTGAAGTGGGTCAGGGCTCAGCGGGCGCTGCCGCAGAGCTTTGTCTGCCGGCGCTGGGCGTGGGAAGGCGCCGCGGGCAGTTTGTCCCCGACGTGGGGGATGCGGTGGCTCCTCGGAACAAAGGGCTCGGGGGTCGCCCGGCAGGAAGGAATTCAGGCTGTGATTACAGCGCTTGGCTGTCCCGGCTGGAGGCAGCGCGTGCTGCGGCGTCGGTGAGTCCTCTCTCCCAGCTCCAGGAGCCCCAGAGTCCGTGAGGATGGAAAAGAACATCGAGTCCAACCTGTGTCCCGTCTCCTCTTTGTCAACTAGACTGGTTGTCACATCCAGTCGTTCCTTGGGCGCCTGATGGTGAATGTCCTCTCTCCCAGCTCCAGGAGCCCCAGAGTCCGTGAGGATGGAAAAGAACATCGAGTCCAACCTGTGTCCCGTCTCCTCTTTGTCAACTAGACTGGTTGTCACATCCAGTCGTTCCTTGGGCGCCTCCAGGGATGGTGACTCCATCACATCCGTGGACAGCTCCTTCCAATGCCTGACAGCCCTTTCCATGGAGAAATTTCCTCCTGATGTCCAACCTCAGCCTCTTCTGGCATGGCTTGAGGCCATTTCCTCTCATCCTGTCATATGTTCCCTAGGAGCAGAGCCTGACCCCACCTGGCTGCACCTCCTGGCAGGGAGTTGGAGACACCAAACTCCTTCCATGGTGACAGGGACACTGCAGAGTGCTGGAGCTCCATGGCACGACCCACTGTCAGACCTCGGTGCAGACACAACCCTGGGAGTGCAGCTGGAGAACGGAGAACCCTGTGGGTTGGTGACCCACAGTCACAGGGAGATGGGACCCCTAGGGTCTGTGTCCCGTTTACCATCAGGATGGTTTTTGGGGTCACTCTGGTGGGGGTCAGGGTGTTGTGTGTGGTATCCCCAGGGGGGACAAGTGGGGGGTGCAGACAGTTTGCAGTGAGTCCACATGGTGGCATTAAACTGCTATAACTTCCTCTGCTATAAGGAGGAAGTGTAGCCATGTGATCACCCTTCCCCTTCCTATAGATCTACCCTGCTAGGAGGAACTGCAGGTTTGGGGGGGCCCTTGGTGAGCAACTCCCTGGGGAGCTGCTCCCCCACCCCCAAGTTTGAGTGGGAACATGGAGATGAGTACGGGACTTAGAGTGGATCTCCTTGTCCTCCTCTTCGTCGTGCAAGGTACCGTGGTGGGGTGAGGGATCTGCCCCTGTCCCCACTGTCTCCTCCCCTGGCTTTCTCCATGCTTGAGTTGAGATGCACCAACTCCTTCCTGCAGGAGCCACCTCCACCATGCCGGGGGTGAGTGACCGCTCCGGGTGAGTCTGGAAGGGGAGGGGAACCCCAAAAATGAAAGCAAGGAAAAAGCTCTCTCCCCTGAGAGGTCTGGGGAGGTCAGAGTGGGGAGGTTGTCCTTGCTTGTGCAAGGTCAAGAGAGTGTGGAGGGGTCAGGAAATAGTGAGAAAACGTTATTTGGTACTTCCACGTGTCTGGGAAGAATCGAGTCCCAAGCAGGGACGAGTCCCAGGGAGAGGGGATTGGTCATACAGCACCATCCCTGCTTTTCCCACAGGCTTGGCGGAATATCATTCCACCTCAAAGGTGACTGGGACCGTTGGTGGGGTGGTCTATCTCAGCCCCAGCGTGAAGAACCCAACCTCTTACTTCCAAATCCACTGGCGCCGCAACAACACGGTGCGGCTCGCCAGTCGCTCCAACGGGGCCGAGGCTCAATACCCCAACAACCTCTACAAGGGACGTCTGGAGCTCTTCCCCAACAATACCCTGAAGATCAGCAGCCTGCAGATGAGCGACAGCAGCATTTACCAGGTGTACCTGGAGGATGAGACAGGCAAGGAGGACATCGAGGCCATCAGCCTGGAGGTCCACGGTGAGTTGGAGGATGGGAGGGTTGTCCCGGCACCATACAGGGAGGGAGGATGTGACCTCCTGATGCCTCTTGCAGACACCATGGTGGATGTGATCATGAACGACCCAGAGAGGTGCAGATCCACCCTGAAGTGCTGTGTGGGGCTGGAAGAAGTGACCTATGAATGGAGCAGACCCGAAAAGACTGCGATTCTCTCTCTTCAGCTAGATGCCCTCAACTCCTCGGCAGAAATCTGCACCTGCAAGGTCAGCAGTCCTGTCTCCTCCAACAACATGTTCGTGACCTACAGACACCCCTGCTCCGGGTCAGGTAATGCCACAAGTGGTGGCCCAGCTTGGGGGGTGGGCTGAGGGGTGGCTGTGGCTTTGGAGGGTCCCCAGAGCAGTGGCAGTGACCCTGAGAGAGCAGGTCACAGAATCCCAGGGTCACTGGGCTTGGAAAGACCTCCGAGGTCACAGAGTCCAAGCTGTGACTGATCTCCACCTTGTCAACTAGCCCAGAGCACTGAGTGCCACGTCCAGTCATTCCTTGGACACCTCCAGGGATGGTGACTCCACCACCTCCCT